TAAATATAACGTAATGCTGTACATGTGTATATATTTAAGAATTTATTTATTATTTGTATATTAAAATTGACTAAGCGATCTCTTAAAAGTGAATGAGCTCTTAAAACTCTTAATATATAAAACATTTTTACGCTTTACTTTCTATGTGTATATCATTCCAAATCTATGAATTTATCACCCACGATTATAGTACTCCTGCAATCACATTTTACCCATCGCCACAGATTCTTTAAATTTATTTCAGAAAAATTCTAATTATTTACCATTTTTCTTTCACTTTGTTTTAAATACAATATTAAAAACTTTTAAATGTAATCTTTTTTTCATGTATACCACCAGAAATATTTTTTTTTCAACTCTGTTTTGTTCTTCCAAAAATGTATATGAATAGGAAATAATAAGTATGAACATTGTGGAAAGCACATGAGAGGTTGTGCTGCCTGTGAGTCATAAAGTCAGTGTATCCTGTGACTAATGTAAGCCTTGTGTATTCATTAGTATTTATTGTGCGAAAGTTATCTAGAAGCTTTCATCTGAAAGAATGCTGTGCTATAGTTAATGTTCGTAAGTAGGTTAACAAGGTAGACTTGTACAGGTGTTTCGCTGGTGTATTTTGTTCTACAAGAAAGTGGCCCTAAGAGGGTTAAAACTGGTAGGTACACTCACTGACTTGAGACAAGAGTAGCGAGTACACCTTTTGGCTACTTCAAGTGAACGTAAGTTTTATTATTAGTATATAGAAAATGATTGGAACTTCACCTTAAACTAGATTTTATTAACTCTTTCTATTATTGGCGGAACGAGCAGTTCAGGGGACCCAGGGCAAAGAAATGATTGGGGCCCCTTTTTTTTCTCTCTCTCTCTCAGAAGACCAGACCAGGCCCACAGGCGTCTCGTTGCCCCGTCTGCCCCGCGCTAGTTCCGCCTCTGCTTTCTATATATATTGTCGTTTAGTTTTCTCCCTTTTAATTGGTAAAGCATTTGTTTGTTTTGTGTTTAACCTCAAAGACACCAATGGGCTATTTGTGCTGTTCCAACCACGGGTACCAAACCTTTATTTTTAGCTCAAAATCCCTGAAGTTTAACGCTGACCCATTGGGGTTGGTGGGTTGTAAACTATACTGTAAGTGTTGGTTTTAGGATGCAATGTTGTTATTGTACATACATTTTAAGGCTAAATAACGTAATACAATTGTTTTATAAACTTCTTGTTTTAAAATCAAATCAAAGCACCTTTAGTACATTGATAACTTGTGCATTCCTCGAAATTGTGAAATTGGATTTTCTGAGATGGATGTAAGTAGCAGAAGGATTGTTGAATATGTTGCAGCACTGGAGTTATCCGAATTTTGATATCAAGTGTGAAAGTTTGGTATAAACTGCAGGTCTGATAAACTAATGTTTTGGAGGAAAGAGGCGGAAATAGTTTTGTAAATGTTTGACACTAGCTTTTGTAGTATCTGTAGCTTGTTTGCTTTGTTAGCTGTCTGCGCTAGCTGTCCCTAATTTTGAAGTGATAAGCTAGAGGGAAGGCAGTTATTCAACATCACCTGCTGCCAACTCTTGAGAGACCGAATGCTACTCTTGTAACTCATCCACAGCCCCTCCCCTCTCTCGCACGCACGCGCACACGCACACACACGCACACACACGCACACACACACACGCGCACACACACACAGAGACTATAATGATTAATAAAATACAAAAACAAGAAATGAAAACATCCAGATGTATGGGTTTACACATATCCATTGTTAGTATCAACTGTACGTATTGAATGATTTAGTGGTGGTTAATGTTAATAGTTTGGGGAGGATTTAAATCTACTGTTATAGTGTGTGCGGTCTCCCGATAGTTCAACCATAAGTTTTCGGACTTAAAAAGTTAACCAGGATGGGGGAAGCAATAGTTTCGTTACTAATGGAATTTAAATACTTTTGAAACTAAAGAAAATATAGTAAAGGTTAAAATTAAATGAAATTGTGTAAATATTTAAAATATATTAAAATATTCAAACGATCAACAGTCTTAAAAGGATGACGTGAATCGACGTCAAAACATGTAGTGCCTTTTTGTTAGAATATAATATTGTGTACAAACAATGTTAAACGTTTGAATATTTTAATACATTTTAGAGTAAACGTGTTAAAACTGTCGAATCATGATAGAATAATAGTGAATTTTTTCTATTTAACCTTATCAATTGTTTAAAGTTATACATTTTTTAAATGTAATTTTAACTCCCTCGCATGATTAAAGACACGTTCTTGCACATAGTGAAAGGGCTTTCGTTTTCCCTAACCTATTGTATGATCTAACATTTCGTAATTTTTGTTTTGTTTTTTAACACTTGTAGTAGTATTATTTAAAAATACACATTTTAGTTTGAAATAACTATACACCTTTATCATATGACAGATGTAAGACGTTCAGGCTGTAATTGTGAAAAACTATTTCAACAGTTAAGCCTTTGTTTGAGTAAAGAATTATATATGAAGTTTGTGTTTTTAAAATTTATGTACTGTATCGGTTCGGCGGTTGTCTGGTTGTCACCAATATCAACGACTCAAGATTTCACCATCTTCCCTTTAGACGCATACAAATTCTTAAACGTAAAAATAGTTTGTACTTTTTTAGGTAAAATGTATAGTAATATTATAATATACATCGATAACTTGAGCATTGTTGCTACGAGGTGCATTCCGTCTGAGTTAGTTACTATGCTTGATCATGTTTCCACACCCGAAACAATGATATTTCGTAAGTCTAACTTCTTAAAGTAAAGGTCAATGAACCTTCACCCCCATGGTACATTCACATAATTCATTCGTAGAAATGCTTGCATTATCATATGTACATCTTACTAAAATAGGTGGCAACATTTTATTCATTGGACTTGCTTCAATCTTATAAACAAACCATATAATCAGATATGGCATATTTTTAGTGTTGCATACAACTGGTCAAACAGCTTCGTACCCCAAACTAAACAGTGTGTGTTTGTCTATATGCATTGTTTCGACTTTTGAAATATCTGTAACGGCTGTTGGCGTATTTTTATAAAATAATACAAGACTTTGAAATGTTTAGCAACGTTAAGTTGTAAACTTTCACAATTATCTTATCTATCATGGAACACGCTTATAATTAAAGTCGTTCTAAAGAATGCCAAGACAAAACGATTATTGTGAGAAAATTTAACAGAGTCAATGGAGTTTTATAGGACATGTCAGGAAAAAAAGATATGAAACATCATTATGACACGAAAAATCTCTGGAAAGAAAAGCAAAGGAAAACAGACGGATGCTGCTATCAACAATTGCCAAGGAACTAAGAATTGCCACTATAGAAATTATAAGAGCAACGGGAGACAGGGATTAGTGCAGGACCATGCTCGCCAACGCCCTATATGGGCATGGTACCTAGAGCGAGAGAGATCTTGTATACAACACAACAATACTATGAAAACATTAGCTCTAAATGTGAACAGGCATACTAAGTAACACAAGTAACATTAAACATGAGACAAGTGTTCTTGTAGAAATACTTGTTTAAAACAGTTTTCATTCAAAACAAGTTTCTAATTGTTGGGTGTTGGATGATGTTTTGTGGACATGTTAAGTTTCTAAAATTCGTCGTGTGTCACCTAAATTTAGTCATCTTTCGCTCTCACGCGTAGCGAAACTTTTCTCCCACCGATTGATTCAAAGTTGGAACCAAAATTGTATTTCTTTTTAACCAAACTTTTCGCTTGAAAGCTTAGTTATGTTCCAAAATGCACAAAATAGCAAGAAAAAGCATAGTCAAATATTTTCTTCTTTCGCACCATCCCCCTCAACCCCTAGGAAGTTCCGGTTTCAGCCACCCACCAAGATTCGTGGTGGTCTGAGTCCTCCAAGACAAAACTTCACCCTCTCAGTCCTTCCTAGACCTTGACGTCTGTGTTTATTAATTGGTATATTTTCTTTTATAAAGAGTTCAAAATTTGATTTTCCATTGATAATTTTATTTTCTTTCTGATTTGGTAATCGGTGTTTTCTCTGTGTTCCAATTATTGAACATTTCACTCAGGACTGTTTAATACGGAGGTACATAGAAATACTACTACTAGTATATAATTACGGTTGAAAAGTGTCTTAATAGACGCTAGTCTTCGTTTGTTAAACAAAAGATACCGTGACTAGTTTTTTGTTCATTGCTTCCAACGTACCTAGTAGGCTTGCATTCGTGACTTAAATGAAAGTCTATTTTTAGGAGTAAAATTACTTTCATTCTTTATTGATTAAGTCTACCAACAGAATATTTTATATATTTACTTAATCAACTCTGGAGGGTTTGTCTTGTATCTGCTGTAGTTAAGCTGAAAGTTCCTGTAAAGAAGCGTTTTATCCGACTCTCCATTTGTAGGACATAACAAGGAAACTCCTTATCTTGGACTGTTAATAAGCAAGCTGCGATAGAAATACTCTTTTCACGCATTTAGGTCATCAAAACACTACAACTCCAGAGCCCTGTTTTTCGCAAATAGTCCTTTACAGCACAGAACAGAAATTCGCTAAACCAAAAATATACCAAGAAATACGAGACAAATGAATTTTTGTTTATTGTTTAAGTTTCACACACAAAGCTAGTCGTCCTAATTTTGAACTGATGGATTGGAACAAAGGCAGCTAGTCAACATCCCACGGTCTACTCGTGTAATATTCTTGTCTGACGAAACGGTGGGATATATGTTACTCTAATAATACACCTGCGACTCAAGTGGACTGTCTTTTCTTTTTTTTTTTAGAAACTGGATGCGAACCATGAACTCTTGGATTCATAAAACAAATGTTAGATTTTAGTAAACTCCAAGTTCCTCTAATGGTTCATCTATTTAGGTAAAACCCCAAATCGGACGTCATCCGGCTTTTTTAACCTATCTACCCACCACTCTGTTTCCGTTCTCCAAGAGTCATTCTCATACACATGTATCACAGTTCTTGTGTAATGGGTTCCGCTCCTACGCATTCTTCCGCTTCGCTCAGCTAGTATGTTCTCTTTCGTCGTATCTGTATTCTAAGCTAGTCTCACTCTGTCCACTTGTTATAATATCCTCAGTGTTTTTTGTTTATAAACTTAGCTTTTAGGTCAGTAAAAAAGTAAATCGACAGCGGGATTTTGTTGAAAGTAAATATCGTATGAAACTTTTCACGATATTGCCGTCATTAGAAGTTGCTTATCTCGTCTACCACCGAAAACCGATCCTGCCAACACGCGTTTTGGGTTTTCCCGTTTCTCGTTGTCTATCTTGTATATTTTGATTCATTTCTATTTTAGTGTTCCCTCTCTCGCATAATTTCTTGATAAAACTATAAAACCTTTTAAATACGCGTTCTAGCTTTTAATTATTGTTACACTTGTAATTATATTCCCGCATCATCTCTTCATTTCTTCAACTGCCAAAAATACTGCCACCTACCGCTTTCTCTCCTCTCTCTTGAAATTATAATTTTTAGACTTTCAAGGGAAACTTAAGTGCACCTGGGATAAACTGCTAGATAAGATACTTCTAGGATTCCAGTATAGCCGTTTCTCATTTTAAACTATTGACAAGAAGAAAACGGGCAGCCAGCAGCACCCACCGCCAAAGAGATTTGTCCGAACTTGTGAAACGAAAAATGGGATGGAATGTCACAACTGAGAGTACGGAGCATGTTAATAGCACCAGCTTGAACCCCGGCTTCGTGAAACGCAGCCCAACAAGTAAGAACTAGGTCACGCCCCATTGATTTTCCTAGAAGGCAATAACATTTTAACTGTTAAATTTTTTTTTAATGGCATATTGCTGTAATTCTTAATTTTAATAATAATACTTTCAGTTCTCATTAAAGAGACATATCTAAGCACGTATATTTTAAGATTTTAGAACAGGTTCAATTTTGTACATCTTTCCAAATCGATATCTCGAGGCCAGAACATCACTGTCTCAAGTCCTGACATTAGTCGATTTGATGATCTCCAACGATCTTTCATATGTTAAAACATCCTTTCAGAAACATGGAATTATCAGCTTGCTTGAATTTCTATCTCGCCGTTTTCATACTCTACATTAGTATATGCAAAGTTATTCTGAAATTCACCGTTAACTATTCATCACTTCCACTGATCCTATACTCGTTCACAACACAATCTGACACCATTCTTGGCCACTGTTTGTAAATATTCTATCGGAAGGCCAAAACTTCATGAGATTCTTTCCTATCTTATATTCTCACTTAATCCCTCTCAAGGCTGAAAGAAAAAGAACCAACTTACCCTGCTTAAAGCTGATACTAAATGTAATTTTGTTAATTCCTTTCTTACTATTAATTTTTTCGAACGCACTCTAGCGCAGTTCCTTTTCTCTAAATACGAAACCATTAAGTTCTGCCAGGACAGATTGATTTAATTATCGACCAGAACATTATCTCTTCGGCCCTTCTTTTCCTCATCGTCACATTATTCGTGCATTTTGTTCACTACTAAATATACTCTTTATTTTAAACCGTATTTCTCCTGAATGGTAATTCTTTGTATGTTTGTTTTGTGTTTAAGCGCAAAGCAACATAATAGGCTATATATATAATATAGTGTGTGTGTGTGTGTGTGTGTGATCTGCCCACTGCTTGTATCGAACCTTGATTTTTAGCGTTAATATCCCCCGCAGTCATTGAAGGCAAGATAAAATGAAAAATTAAATGTTCAAAACAGTAAATCAGCTTGGACATAGCCCTAAAAAAACATGTAGCTGACTACTGAGAACTCCATGAAAACTGGTTTCACTCGGTAGTAGTTATTATCGCAAGTAAAGAAATACTGTGTAATTAGAAGGCTTATTTTTTTAATCGATTTAGTTTTCTGTGCAGACTAGCTTAAACGTACAAGTCCGCTGACTCCGGGCCGGGTTAATCAAAACTCAGATTAAGCAGTTGCATATGAGACCACGGTGTCAAGGAATTCCCACTGTTTTTGTTTGTTTTTTTTTGCGTGTTTTTTTTTTTGTTGTTTTGTTTTTTTCAGTAGTCTGTGTAGTATTTTAAAATGATTACATTTCATTTAATATTGTTTTAATGAGGAAAGAGTCAATTTCTAAAGAAAAAAAAACTTTTGGGCTCATGGGCTCACACAACTGAAATTTCCTATTATGAGCCCATTGTGGTCTTAATCCAGCCTTTCGATGACCAGCTTAACATTGCAGCAGTGTCCATTTATGATATCTAAAATAATAAGTAAAATAATAATAATATTAAATAAAATCCTGTGTGTTTATGAATATCGGTCAGGTGTAGCCTGACTAATAGCGTGTTGAGACTGTATTCTATCGTTCGTGGTTTGCGGCCCATTGACGCAAAAATGCGCTCCGTACTTTTTGACCATAGGTGCGTTATAAGAATGACGGTCAAATTGCGCTATTCAGTCAGCTAAGATTAGTCCAAGAGTTGGCGACGGGTGCTGCTAACTAGTTGTCTCCACACTAGTCTACCGGCTAGAAATTAAGAACGGTTATGCGCAAGGGTTCGCTTTGTAAAGCATTGCGTAAATATTCTGAAACAAACAATAATACGTATATTTAAAATCCTTTTGTCAATGTTGATAGCTTTGTACCTATTATAAGTCTAATAACAAATGGTCAATGAATGAAATGGGGTTGGTTTGCAACCCTTCGAATGGGGGGGGGGGAGTTTATATGACGGTATACGAATAAACTTGACATCCATACATAGATAATAAATAATTGTAATATTGTATAAGTATAATAAGCTTGAGTATACCTGAACAGACATATATCCCATACACTGCAAAGAGGTTTTGTTGTAAATTAATATAAATACTGTATTATTTCACAACAGCACGAATCGGAATCCCTTGACACAGACTTGTGTTGGTTGTAACACAATTTATTGTTGTAGCGTTATACATAGGTTTTTTTTGTGTTTTGAAAAAACACAAATGGTATGCGATTGTAAATTCAAAACTATGATTACCTAAATACTAGTTACAAAAGAGTAAAACCAGACAATTTCTAATTGCCACATTGTTTAGGCTCTACTTTCATTTTTATCATCCCACTAGTTAATGACTTGTATCAATTAAGCTAACGAGGGAGTTGCTTATCTGAAACTGCCTCCTCAGTCATACAACGATGAACAATACAATTAGGGTTTAGTAAGTTATTTTTGAGCAGAATGCTTAATAAGTGCTTGTTGAATGGAAAATACGAACGTGTTTAATAACAAATGAATAACCTAGATTCTAGAAGGAATTGCACTGCTGCAACATTAAAGAAAAAGGACCAAATGTCATTCGACATTATTATAACTAAAATGATTATTTTAGTTATAATAATGTCGAATGACATGATCACATCAATTCAGAAAAGAAATTGATACCAGAATTTTACAGCCGAAAAGCTCAGAACTGAAACACGTTGAAAATAAAGACAAAGCACTATAATAATATAATTAGGCATTTAAGGGGCCCGGCATGGTCAGGTGGTTATGGTGCTCTACTCGCAATCTGCAGGTCGCGGGTTCGAATCTCCGTCCTACCAAACATGCTCGCCCTTTCAACCGTGGGGGCGTTATAAAGTACGGTCAATCCCACTATTCGTTGGTAAAAGAGTAGCCTAAGAGTTGGCGGTAGCCAGTGATGACTAGCTGCTAAATTAGGGACGGCTAGCGCAGATAGCCCTCGTGCAGCTTTGCGCAAAATTCAAAATAAACAAACGGGTATTTAAGGAATTGTAAAGCAAAATACAGCCTTTCGTGTAAAATGTCTGCAAAAGTATAAAAGTCGTCTTAACGTTATAATAACTCTGTTGTTCGTATTTCTAATGGTGAAAACACGATCAGGAAAATTAAGACTAATGATGGACAACAAATATCTACACTAAATATAAATAACTAAACGTAACACCTGAAAACTATGCTGGAATTATTTGTACAACTAATTTAAAAAAAATCTGTAATAAGGGTAAAACAAACGGATAAAAATAACATTTAATTTATAAAACAAATTAATTAGTACTTAGACGTAGAAAAATATGTATGTACCTATCTACTGAGAAACGTATTGAAAAGTTTAACTTAACAGAGAAGTATCGTTGTTTATTGAATTTCACGCAAAACTATTGCGCTGGCCGTCCTTGATTTTAAAGTGGTAAATCAGAGGGAATGCAGCTGGTCAACACCACCAACCACAAACTCTTGGTCTACTCTTTACCAGCAAATAGTGGCATTATTTTTTTTTCACTTTATAATTCCCCCAAGGCTGAAAGTGTGAACATGTTTGGTGTTGGCATGCGATCCCGCCACCTACAAATTGCGAGTTGATCGTCCAAAGCACAAATCTATGCCAGGCCTAACAGAATAGTTTTTCAGGGGAAGAGATTGTCTAATCAAACTTTTGATTTTTTTTAATATAAGCTTAACATGTTTAACAATATGAAACGTATTACTGATTCTAAATGTTTTATTTGTCTTTTTTAACCTGTTGACTGCTGACTGACGTATAAGGTACGGTCCGCCTCCGGCAGTTGAATGCGAGCAGCCGCAGTCAATGGGTTAATTAGATTAGCGAAGCTCAATTCCTTAGAAAAAAAAACTCCCAATGAATTGTTACATTAACATTATACTCTAATACAATTCTACATTCTCTTTAATAGGGGACAATGTAGCCAAAAGGTTGCGAGTTGTAAACTTTTTTAGCAGTTGTTCCTTTCACCAAAGTGTAAGTATTGCTACCTGCACTGAGAATCATAGGATGGTTTTATGATTAAATAGTTATTAGAGCTCCAGTAGTAGTTTAGACGTGGCCTAGTAGTTAATGTTCTATGCTGCGGATCGAAAGATCCATTGTTCGAATCGCGATATGCAGTTGTGGAAGCGCTATTAATTTTAATCATTGTTCAGAGCAAGCTGCTTGCTTAGATCGAAAATGAAAAATAATCCTGGTAACTAGTACAGCTAATTATATAATATATATTTACTAATAGGTATTAGAATGCATTGTTTTGTAAATTGAGTAATCTCGCTGTTAGCGACATTTTCGGCCATAAACCCAATAATATCTGACAAAGTTCAGGCAGTTTAGAAAATTTAAGTTAGTCCCAAGTTCATACACTAAGCTAATATTACAAAGTAGCTTTTACAGTAAAAAATATAACAATAAATACAAGTAATAAAATAGATATATTAAACATTGTGAGTAATAGTTAAAGCAACATTAACAAAATCAGTATCTTTAATTACGGAATAGATACACTAATTGTTTGCCTCCTCTCTGCTGTAGATTTGATGTTCTTTGAAAAACTTAATCTTTATATACATAATCTACACAGTCCTTTTTCTTTAAGAAAAAAAAAACCGTTCCGAAGATGCAACTTTAGAGCAGCTTAACATGTGTTACTGTTTAGGTGTAGAATATCGGATAGCAAGATGACTCATAGTACATTTAGAAAAAAAAAGACGTTTATGAAGTTACGAAGTAATGGATAATAATCGTACTGAATCTTGTATGATAATTAAAATGTAACAAAGTTAAATGTAATAAAAAGAAAAGTGATGTGCTAAACGTGCTACGAGATGTTTCTAACATAACTAATTTGACTAATGAGAGGGCAACATGACGTAATAGTTAAAATAGTAACCGATAAGATTCGAGAAAGCTCAATAATAATAATAATAATAATAATAATAATAATACTTAGAAAGGAAGTAACAACA